ATTCGGCTTTTGTATTAACCATTTATAAAGAAAAGCCTATTAAAATTTTTATATTCCACTTTATTTATAACTATTGAGAGTTGAATTATATTAGAATTAATTATAAAATTCCATTAAGATTCCAATCCCTCTTATTATTTATATATTTTAAAGAATTATTTCAAGAAGATAAGAATTTCAAGGTTATTTTAAAATATTTCAAGGTTATTAGAAAGAATAATTCAGAATTTCAAGAATATTTCAAGTGAATGAATTATAAAGATTAATGCACAAAGGATATGAATTAATATCGATACGGCATAAGATATGAATCACTAACATAGCTTAAGCATACATTATCCCATGAAAAGCCCTGTAAATCCAGAACGCCCTGTAACCCTCATCCTTTTCACCTGTGACAATGCCGAAAGTTTGAATCAGCGAAACATTAAAAAATTAAATCACGCGAACGCGAATAAAGGCAAAGTGAACTATTGCAGTCGAGAAAGTGTCTCGAGAGGGGAAGCGATTGAAACTGAAATCCTGTTGTGACTATAGTTCCAGGGATTTTCTCTCGCGGACCCAGAGTGGCATTCTCTCAATTTTCGTGGATACGTAAAATCAAGAATTCAAAATAAAATAGTCCCCACAGTTGTGAATTGCGAAACAATCGATTTGAGTCCGCGAGTGCCGAAGCGAATTGGTGTAGTAGCCTCGAAATGCGACTCAGTTCCAGGGGCTAATATTCGCAGAGGTGCCACGTGATTCATTTGCGATTTCCCTGATTGCTGAAAGGAGCGTCGGAAAAGACGGCTCAGTAACATTTCTTAATTAAAGGGAGCTAGAGTGAACGAGAGTAAGATCCTTTCCCTGTTCTTAGCTGCTAAAAATATATAAAAGAGTGGCTATCCTCCACCATCCCCTTTGTGTACATTTATTTACTAACATTATTCAATAAGTTTCCGTGGACGAAGGAAAAACCCGTCCTCAAGTTTGGCAGCTGTAAGCGCGTAAGCTAGTAAGTGAGAATTTGACAGGATCTTATTATATAAATTGATACCATTTTACATGATTTTATTTGATTCTATGTGATGCTATATGATTTTATATGCTTCTCTATCATTTTATATGCTTTGATACGATTTTACATGATTTTATTTGATTTAATGCTATTTCATATGATTTTATTTGATTTGATTTAATTATATACGATTTAGTATTATTCTGAACACTTTTACATGATTTTTATACGATTCTATTCTATCTTATAAGATTTAATACTATTTCATTTGATTTGATACGATTTCTGTATACGATTTTACATTTTATTGAATTTAATACCATTTTCTTCGATTCTATACGATTCTATATGATTTAATTCTATTTGAGATGATTTAATGCTACTTTATACATGATTTAATACGATTTTATACAATTCTATACGATTCTATATGATTTTATGTTACTTTATATGATTTAATACATGATTTCTATGCGATTTTATATGAATCTGTATGCTTTTTACATGATTTAATACGATTCTATAAGCTTTCATATGGTTTTTATACCATTGAGCCATTTTGTTCGTGGCATAAGTGTGAAGGCCTCTTCTCATTGAAACGGTCATAAGCCTACGAAAGGGCAGCCATTTTTGATCATCGTACGTCACGTTCGTACGTCACGACCTGCCATTTTGCCATAAGCCTTATAAGCCCAGTACGGAATAGTAAAACCGTCTAGATTTAACGGAACTAGAAGCAACTGCTTTCCTTTTATATAATGTTCAGTTAAGATACTACTTATGGTTATATTATGTTAAACTCTTAACAATTTATATTCTATGAACATCCTTATTTTTATTGAATACTTTTATGAATATCTCTACAATTTTTAGAAGCATTTATTGTATTTTAACAAAGGTTTTCATACCTTTAATAGAATTTGAGTTAATAATAAATAAGTTTGAGTTGAGTTAATAGGATTTTAATTTGATTTCTTATTAGATATTAGTTTTATTTTTATTCGATTGACCACTTGACTGCATTCAATAATTCTCCTGAGCTCTCGGCTTCCCCGGATATAGCCGGTGCATGCAGGTTGTCCGAAAACTTAAATAGAGAGCCTATTACGTAACAGTAGTCATGCGAAAACTCGAAAAAGCTTTTCAGCAATGTCCCACGAAAATCCTCGCTTGCAGAAACGAAATTCAACTCCCCCCTGAAGAAGAGAGGCGGGGAATACTGCGAGAACTCCACGGATCTGCAGTAGGAGGACACAAAGGAATAACAAAAACCTATCGAAGAATCAAGGAACGTTATTACTGGCCGGGCATGAAGGAAGACGTCGGAAACTTCGTCTGTACCTGCCGGGAATGTCAGACGAAGAAGTTAGTAAGGAGAAAGGTAAAACAACCTATGGTCCTGACCGATACTCCCGGACCCGCATTCGACAAGGTGGCTATGGACATCATGGGACCTCTACCAGTCACGCAAAAGGGAAATAATTACATCCTTACCATCCAAGACCTCCTTACAAAATATTCCTTGGCTATTCCTCTCCAACAAGCCTCCGCAATCGACGTAGCCGAAGCATTCACTAATGATTTTATTTGCACCTTCGGAGCCCCTCGAGCCTGGCTCACCGACCAAGGCTCTCATTTTTTAAACTCTTTAATGCGAAATATAGCACGTAAGTTTCGAATTGTGCAGTTCAAAACTACCGCATATAGGGCCCAGTCGAACGGGTCAATAGAAAGGTCACCACGTACTATGGGAATACCTTAAACAGTTTACCGACAAAAACCACGAGTGGGACGAGCACCTAAAGCTCGCTACCTTTTCATATAACACCAGTGTCCACGAAGGTACTTTATATACTCCGCACGAGTTAGTGTTCGGCAAGACCGCGCGAGCTCCCTCTAATGACCCCCCATTAGACGGAGAAACGAACGAAACATACACCGAATATTTAGAAAACCTTTTCAGGAAAATACACGACGCTCAGGAAATAGCGCATGTAAATTTAACAAACGCAAAAACCAAGTCGAAACAGTATTACGATAGAAGACAGAATGCATGCAGTTTTAAGGCAGGCGATCACGTGTATCTCTTAAAGGAACCTCAGAAGGGTAAATTAGGCGACCAATATACGGGTCCCCACGAGATATTAGAGGTCTTGACGAACAATAACGTTAAGCTCAAAATAAGGAACGGAACGCGAGTTTACATAGCGATAAGATTAAGATAGCTAAGTAAGATTTAGTTGTACACCGCGATAAGATTAAGATAGCTAAGTAAGATTTAGTTGTACATAGCGATAAGATTAAGATAGCTAAGTAAGATTTAGTTGTACACCGCGATAAGATTAAGATAGCTAAGTAAGATTTAGTTCTACATAGCGATAAGATTAAGATAGCTAAGTAAGATTTAAGAGATTACCCCCACCAAACTTCGCCCCCCCCCATAAAAAACGGCCATAAAAGAAGCGGATCGCCCGTGTGGAGCTCACTACCCAGCCAGCAGGGACGAGGGAAGGATCAACATGGACTTCACCGCCATCATAATCGCGGCTCTCATGGTCATCCCCACCCATGGCCTCGTAGGATACGACTGCCAAGGCGAGAGCTTGAATGTAACTGCGCTCTCTCTAACGGACATAGGAGACTGCGACCTGCGGAGCATCGACCCCGTGGACGAAGAGGTGTACATTCAACTCTTACAACTCACGGAGTTCGATCACACCCAAGGCTACCAATGTCGAATACGAATCGATCGGACGATTCAATACTGTGGAATGCACTCACACATATCCGCGGTACACCAAGGGAAACGCGAGTACCTGTACGACATCACCGCAGAGGCATGTAGGAAAATGCTAGACAGCGGCACCATTTACCTGGGAGGAGGAAAGGATGCAATGATCACTGGAATCAAGGTCAACACTACCACATTCAGGGCAATCACGCTCGCAGGATGGGTCGGTGTAGATGGAAAATGTTCGCGCACACAATACAGTGACCCATACGGAACCTGGGAAAACGTCTTCGTATTAGCATCCGTAACGATACAAACGCGACGATTGGAACTTCCAATTAAGTTCGCGACGGATGAGGTCATACTACCGTCGGGAGCACGATGCCCCGCTTCCGAAGGAGAATGTCTTGACCCTGAGGGAACCTTGACGTTCTGGACAACCACACCCATGGACAGCTGTCAATTCTCCCGCTACGACATTTTATACCAGGGAATTGCCCATCGGATCACCTCTAAAGATACGGACAATTCTCCAGTGATGTACACAGTGACCACGTCAGACACCACGTTTGCTCTGACGCGGACAACCGCTATAAACTTATGCGGTTACCAAATTATAAAAACAGAACACCCGAAGCTCTTCGTCCTCGAAACTCAGCCGGGACGAACCTTCAAGATTAAGTCAAGGATAGCCATAGACAACTTAGATATCTTCTCTTATGTAAATTCGAAGTTTATCTTTGTGGAAAAACATTTGAAGACACAAATGGTCCAACTATATAAAGATATCATGAGTCAGAAGTGCGCCCTGGAAAAACAAATATTAGAGAACGCTCTATCACTCTCAACTATAGCGCCTGACGAGATGGCATTCCGCATAATGAAAAATCCAGGATACACAGCAATCACTGCTGGGGAAATAATTTACATCATAAAGTGTATCCCAGTGCCGTGCAAATTGCGGCAAGTGGATGGTTGTTACAATGAATTACCAGTAGTGCATAATAACGCCTCGTATTTTCTCCAACCTCGATCTCGAATCCTGACTAGAATGGGAACCACGCGGGAATGCAACGAGCTCCTGCCAGCCATGTACAGAATGGCGAGATCTTGGTATAAATTAATGCCAAAACCAGTGGAAACAGTGTCCAGGTGGGAGCCCAGCTAAAATATCTGGGCCTCCACATTGATGGGTTATGGAGGTTTGAGGAGCACCTCACGAGGCTGACACCCAGGTTGGACGGCGCTGCGAATGCACTGTCGCGCCTAATGCCCAACCTGGGTGGACCGTGTGGGAGAACGAGGCGACTTTACGCGAACGTAACGAATTCGATCGCGTTGTACGGTGCCCCCATCTGGTCAGCCGCCCTGAATGGCAACAAAAAGGCGACCGCGGCGCTGCGTAAAACACAGCGTCGCATGGCCATCAGGGCGATACGGGGGTACCGTACAGTCTCCCTTGCGGCAGCCACACTGATGGCCGGGACGCCCCCCATTGAGATACTTGCGGCAGCACACGCTCAAACATATGAGCGTGTCGCGGATCTCAAGGCTGGGGGGTCCCGGTAACGAAGAGGATGAGGAGGCTCCTCAGCCTCCAGATAAAGAGGGAGGCAAGGGAGGAATGGCGGACCTGGCTCGGGGAGCCAAACCGAGCGGGCCAGCGCACGGTCCAGCCATCCTCCCCTGCCTTGACGAGTGGCTCGACCGCTCATGGTCACGGGCGTCCTATAGGACGACGCAGGTACTCACCGGACACGGCTGTTTCGGTGAGTACCTGCATAGGATAGGGCGCGAGCAAACTGCGCATTGCCACCATTGTGACGGGGAGAGGGACTCGGCGCAGCACACTCTGGAAGTTTGCCCAGCGTGGGCAAACGAGCGCCGAGCCCTCTCCAACATTATAGGTGCGGACCTCTCTCTCCCGGCGGTAATCAAGGCCGCCACGGAGAGGGAGGAAGCTTGGGAGGCGTTCTCCTCCTTCTGCGAGCATGTCATGCTGCAGAAGGAGGAGGCCGAACGGATCCGAAGGGGGGAAGCCGAACCCCGTGGCGGATCCCAACGAGGCAGAGTAGGCGTGCCTCAAAGGAGAGGGGCACGCCGACTACCGGTCCACCTAAGGGCCTGGTGATAATGCGGGGAGGGAGCGGCGGACCGTCATGGTTAGCTGTACTCCCTCCCCTGTGATGAATGAGGAGGAGTGGCCAGAGGTGTTAAGGCCATTGGCACCAAAGGCCATAGGCACCACACAAGGTGCAGGGAGGTTTCGGTCCGCGTTGCGTACGGGTGCCGCTATCGAATAGCCCCGGGGTAGCCCCTGCCTGTCGTAAGAGGCGACTAAAAGGGGAGACGAGGATGCAGTTAGGACCGAATGGGGGTGGGTACGGGCTGGAGACCCGTGACCCACCCGCCCCCAACAACAACTAGGGGGCGCGGCGGGAGGCCCGGTGGCACCCCCGCCGCAAAGTTAGGCAAGAGAGAGGAGATGGCCCTTCTAAGGGCCGGGCAGACATTCACTGCCCTTGACGAGCGCGATCTCACACGCGCGGCGCAGGGTCACTCGGAGGTAATGCGTCGCAGTTCCCCGGGTGGCCCCATCAAGCGCAGAGAAGACCATCCCCGGTGGTTTTAGTGCGGTAGGCGTCTCCGTTGCACTACTGGCCTTGGGTCGCCAATTGCCCAAGTGCCAGGGAGACGAGTCCCACACACCACCCGTCCCCCTCTCTCCAGGAGGGGCGGGTGACGGTCCATGAGGATTTCCACCGGGTAAAAAAAAAA